AACTCTTAAGCAACCATTAAAAATATAAACCAAGTATTTGCAAAGCATGAGAATGTTGCTACTATTGTACTGGTGTTTTGGGTGAGGACTTCGGGCTCTCGTAGGTCGACCGCGTAGAAGATAGCAGCGTTGTCTCGTAGATAGCAGTAGAGAGTAGACGTAGTCACAGCTTCGTTGTTAAGAGCCAGTTTTTCTAAGAGTCAGGCAGATTACTATTAGGGTGTGATATACCACCTCTTAGATTTTGGGAATTTTTTTTCCAAGGTAGATATATAAGAAAAACTGAGAAAAATCACGTTTTTAGTCCTCACGGCCCTCTAATTTATTTTTGAGGGGTCCTTGAAGGAGTGACCTCATGAAGGCCCAGAAGGAGAAAGCGAAAAAAATGGGGTTTAAAATACTAATATCTCGCTGCGCCCTAAGTCGCCCTCAGAAAAAATCGTTGTGCTACATCTATGGGGTCAAGATGGTAGAATGGCGAAAAAAATTTCGAGGGTGACTTAGGGCGCCACCTATAGGTGGCGCTCAAAATCACTACTTTTACCTTTTATATGTACATAAGACAGGGCAATCATGACTTGCGCCCTAAGTGACCCTCAGTGATTTATGCATACTCTGATAGCCTGGTATCTCTCCTACATGTTGACGCCAAAATGAGCGAGGGTTAATTAGGGCGCAAAGGTATAGGTGGCGCTTTTGTCGGCAAAATAGTGAAAATGTCCCATTTTTGAAACTGAATTTCTCGGTGCGCCCTAAGTCAAATTTAACCAGACCACTTTCATTTTGTGCCTATGGATGTCTAGTATAAGTGTTATAAAGATCTCTTAGGGTATTTGCCTTATTCATCCCTTACAGTACACTTTATGAAAGAACGTTTTTCAGATTTTCGAGTATATCGTCGCACTGTGTAGTGCTGTTCTAATTTTGAAAAAAATATATAAGAGCAAATATTTTTTCCCTTTCAAATTTGATTTATTATAAACACTATAAAACAAATACAACTAATGATAAAATTACTTGTTTTTTTCTATCTCACCAGTGTACGTGTGGATCTGCCACATTCGTAACAAACAATTAAACTAAAATCCTGCATTCCGAGTTTATTTTCTCCCCATATCTTGGAAATCTTCCAACACAATTTAGAATAGTCTTTAAAGTGCACAGTGCAAAAGTTTCTAACTTCAAAGAACAATCAATGGCAGAATGAAACTTACAGAACAATGTACCAAAAACATGGAACTATGAAATTCAACCTTTGTTACAACCTAAGGTTGACAGTTACAAGAATGTCGGTCGTCACTATGTTGCCAAGAATTTTGTTCACCATGTTCAAGCCATTCGAAGAAGGAACCTGCAATTAGAAATGAGTATTAATATATATATATATATACAATATATATTAGTATTAACCTCTGAGGAACTGTTGGAGTCATAGCAATAACGAAGTGACATAATTTGTACTGGGTAAATGAGATTCCATAATCATTTCATAGTACGTCTCTGTTTCATGTACTTGACATGATACTGTTGGTTGTCTCTCGCCAGGATCATCGCAACGTATCGTTTCTCTCCACATTTAACCACAGCTTAATCTCCATGATTGTATGTGTCCGATTCTAACCTTGGCTCCAAACACTCCAAGACTTCTTCTATTATCTCTTATTGAGCAACTAATGCATCAAATTCCTGAAAGCAGAAAGTCCCACATATGTGAGGGGCTCTCACAAAAGTAGGCGCTTGTCGCAATTGTTTATTTAGAGATAATGGCATTTTGATCTAGGCCAATGAATGGAAAATCTGAAGGAAGAATGAAATTGAAATAGCCATAACTTCCTTATTTATGATTTGATACCTTTGATTTGCAAGCTGTTTGGTGCATTAGAATGCTATGATATCAGCTATCCAATGATATCAGCTCAAACTTGAATATTTTGAAGTGCATACTTTTGTGGGAGCCACTCACATATGTGGGACTTTCTGCTTTCAGGAATTTGATGCATTAGTTGCTCAATAAGAGATAATAGAAGAAGTCTTGGAGTGTTTGGAGCCAAGGTTAGAATCGGACACATACAATCATGGAGATTATGCTGTGGTTAAATGTGGAGAGAAA